GTAAGAAATGCAGTGCAGGTGATGCTTTTCATGGTCTGGTTAACATCTTCCATCTTTGTAGTGGGGTAGGGGTGTGTGGTGTAGGCATGCATTTTTTTTTATAACGCAAGTATATAATAATACTTTTCAGTTAGAATTTATAGTGCCTTCCAACCCAGGATCCCCAAATGCTTTCTTACTTGCTAAGCTTAATTTCTGAATGCTTGTGAAGTGTTCCTATCCCAGGATCACAAAAGAAGCCTATGGAAGGACCAGGAATAAAACCCAGAACTGCTGACCCCCATTTCTTTGTTTTAACCACCAAAGCATCATTTCCCTTTTCCAGTACAAGACAGAAACTATAAATACTCTCACTCTGCCCATAAATCACATTCTTGAAACTGTGCGACTACTGTAGCTGCATCACAGATCTGGAAAAAACTGCCAGGCATTTCAGATGTGTTGTGCTTCAGCTGCTGATAGTTACAACAGTAATGTTTGCTGTGGATAAACCCTAGACTAGGAAAAGGGTACAAACAGGCCTCACAACATGCCTTTGTGTTCAGTATTTGATTGTACCTATTTTACAGAAGGATAAGATGAATATGAAGAGATTAAGTGATTTGCCCGAGGCGTCACGCCATGGCAGTGGGGCAGCCAGGAATAGTGCCCAAGCGTTCTGACTTGAAGAGCACTCTTCTAAGCATTAGCTCACCATAACATTTATAGACTTTCTAATGTGGTACAGCCAGGCATTCTCCTAGCCAGGTTAATGAGTTCTTGTTACTCTTGATGGCCTTGCAGGATTTGCAAAATGACTTAAATTTGGGAGCGTTCAGCAACCAAAATTTACTATAATCTCTGGCTACTTTCCTAGAACAACTGAGCTATCTTCATTTTTATTTCAAGTTGGTATCATCAACTGGGTATCCTCCCCATCCTAAGCTGCTGAATGTGGCATTGATCTTGTATCTAATTTTTTGTTTAACTAAGAGCTATCGTGTTAGCTTTTAAACTATGAAGTGGTCAGGGTATTTCCAGAAGTTAGTCTATGGGATATTCTTACGTTCTGAGAATTAATTTTAAAGAAAGGAGTTGCATTGCTCATTTTTACCCAGTGGCTATAATTAGCTTGAAACCATTTACTTTTCCTGTTCTTCTAGAAAATGGTAATTCAAGAAGCGATGAACTCAAAAGAAAATGTGAAGCACTTGAAGCTCAGCTGAAAGTCAAAGAGGCTGAAAATAATGAATTATTAAAGGAACTGGAACAAAAGACTGCAATGATAATGGTGCTGGAAAACACCATCAAAGAAAGAGAAAAGAAATATTTAGAAGAGTTAAAAATGAAAAGCCATAAGCTAAATATGCTGTCAAGTGAACTAGAGCAGCGAGCAAGCACTATTGCATATCTAACTTCACAACTGCATGCTACCAAGAAAAAGCTTATGAGTTCAAGTGGGACTTCTGATGCCACCCCATCTGGAAGTCCAGTATTGTCCAACTACAAGCCAGCTCCTCCCAAAGATAAGCTACCTGAGACTCCCCGACGCAGAATGAAAAAGAGTCTGTCAACACCACTAAACCCGGAGTTTGAAGAGGCCTATAGATTAGGATCGGATAGTCGAAAGCTGCTGTTGCGAGAGCCTGTTGATGCTATGCCTGATCCCACTCCATTTTTATTGGCCAGGGAAACTGCAGAGATCCACCTGATCAAAGAGAGGCCTTTAGTTATTCCACCCATTGCTTCAGAACGCACATCAGGCCAATCACACAGTCCAGCAAAAGAGAAGCAGCACAAGGCACATATTGGTGTGGCACATCGAATTCACCATGTAGCAACATCCCAGCCTCAGCCTGAGGTTGAAACATTAGCAGTGGATCAGGTCAATGGAAGTAAAGTGGTCCGAAAGCATTCAGGGACAGACAGAACTGTATAAGTCAAATGATTGATGTGATGCTCTATTATTCTGTTGCTGTTTATGCACTGTGATCAAATAGGATAAATCTCATCTGCAGTAAAGTTTCTTTTAATGCCCCATGCATGCCAAATTTTTTCCAGATCTGTCATTAATAATTAGCCTACTTCAATGAAACACAAAGTGAGACTCTCTGTTCATATTGCAAAGTATATAATTACTAAATGCTGTGGCCAAATCTAGGTGTACCTGACTGCTTGCTTCTAAGTACTACTCCATTTACTATAACTGCATATGTGGACAAAAGCACAGGCTACAGTCTGCATTATTAATCAACATTAATGAAAAAAGATACTAATTATAAACCTCCAGCAATATGTATTGGCTGTTAATGTTTAAAATGTCAATGTTCCTTTGAAGTCTTGATGGTGTGTATGTAGCATTTCATACACAGACTCTAACTTTCATGACAAAGCCTTTCTTATGGCAGCATTGAAAATAATGCAGATGTGTTAAGATAACCTATGAGAGAACTTTTTTCAGGTGGTCCTGATCAAATTGTGTTCATATTTTTGTTACATTTCTCTCCACTATTACAAAATTCCCAACAAACTTTATTTTATTAATCCTGTATTTTGATTTGTCTCCTTTTCTTCATTCTTTTTAACCGTTTCAAATGGTCCTAATATATAACTAACTCTGGAAAGAAAACACCAATTGAAAAACTATTGTGTAAGTCTTCATGGAGAGAGTATGAACACTGTCCTAATGGAAAGCAGGCTCCTGTTTTGGTGTTTAGAAATTGAATGGTTAATATTAAGCTTACACTAATTAATACTTTGCACTATGGTGCCTTTTGTACAAGGCTGTTAAAACGCCTTACTAAGGTGTAAAAATAATACACTGCACAAAAAGTGCACTATTGAAATGTTTGTTTTTATACTTAGCCTGTATACTGTACAATAGCATAAAAACCATCAGACCTAACCAATGATTTATTTGTTTTTGTTTTAAGTTTGAAACAACTTTATGGAGACACCAGGCTCACTCTGTTCTGAGGCACACTCATGGAAGGATGCAAAACCGAAATGGTATTTTTAGAGTTATTTGAGAATGTTAACCTTGGGAGCCCTTCAACTCATTCTCAATGTTTCAAATGGTTTGGAGAATTCCATTACTAAAACTGTCAATTATTAGCAAAGTACAAATATTCTGGGGGGGGTTTTTTATAAGAGGATGGGGATCTACAGTTCAAAGGAAAATTAGTTACTAAACTGTGAGACAAAAAAGGGGAATGTTTTCCTTTTTAACTCACAATTTTAAAAACTGTTTTGGTTTAGTATCTCTAGTAGCAAATAAACAGAAATATTTAAGTAGTTTATCCTTAAACCCCTCATTCCGGATGTTTGGAAGATGGCCCTAGTTTGCAGTTCTGTAGCACACTTCAGCCATAGATCTCAAGGTACTTTACAGCCGTGGATAAATCTGCTACTCATTTTAACCCGTGTCTTGAAATGACTTACCCAAGCGACCACAGGAAATCAGTACTGGAGAACCTGGCTTTCCTCAGGGTATTGTCATGCTGGTTTTCAAAGGATGGGAGGAACAGTGTTGTCTTTGACCTGTCCTATGTGATTCCTATGCTCCCAAAAATACTTCATCTCTCCCAGTAACATACCAGCTGCTTGCCCTTTCCCCTACCCCAAATACACACACCACAAAAACGCAAATGCAGATTTTGTATAAGCATATTCCTTTAACTCCTAAATTTCTGGGAGTTAGCCTCAACACTCATTCTTGCTGTGGTATGAGTCTGCTGTCCGATAAAGCACAACAAATAAAACTGAGCAAATGACTACTCCAAAATGCTGGTAGGTCCATGATGTGCCTTTACCAATTCAAAATACAATACTTGTTTAAGCTAATAAAAGAAACAACTTCTTAGGAGAGGTTGGAAGTAGGTACTTATCCTTTAGACTAAGGACATTATAGATCAGCCAGTGCTTTAGAAAGTAATCCAACTTCCCATGCCTGAGTCTAAAGATGGGATGCCTGAGTCTAAAGTTTACAGTAAAGTGTAAGATTGAAGCTACAATGATATCAAAACCAGTCTGTGGCACGGAAAGAATCTCTTCTAAAGAAAGACCATAGCAGGACGCAGGGGGAAGTGAAAAACGTTTCTTCTAATCATCCCAACCTATGACAGTATTTGTGTGCGAGATTATTTTAAGAACTCTCCAGCCTAAAAGGCTAAACCCTTTATTTTTCAAAAGTATAGAAAAAGTTAAATACAAATTGACATAAATGGCTAAAATTCTTCTTTAAATTTGAAGACAAAATTAAATATAAGTTAAACTGCATGGTGCTTTGTATTTACTAAATCATAATGTCTTAGGAAAAATTGCTGCAAATACTTATTTTGAAAATGTCTCTGGGCCAGTTTAAAATCAGTAGAATTCTCTTGAAAACATAGGGAGCAAAAAACTTGATCCCGTGCTTCTTGGCTTAATTTGACTTCATAAGTTGTTCTCAGATATCCACCAATGCACTTTGGGTGTGGGAAATGGACAGTTTAAGGTGTCAGTCAGAGTTCAAAGTGAGACACACCCCTTGCAGCACCCAGTGGGAAATATGCTTTATGGTTGAAAGATCAGCTTCAAAAACTAAGCCAATGCCCATGGCATTTCTTCTCATGGAGGTTGTGTACACAGGTGTCCGGAATGTGTTCTAAAACAAGAGAAAAGCAGCTATTGTTTGAAGTACAACAGGGGCTCATGACTCTGCAAACTAATCACGTGAATAAGGATCCTTAACAAGGATTAGGTGTTGCAGGATTGAACCCTTATGCCTTTAGTAAAGGTGATATAAGAAGCTTGCATTCACTATTAGAATCCTAAATCCATAATGTTAAGACAGTCTTAATTTAAATCACTGGCTGGGGCAGATAGGGGGACAGGGATGTATCAGCTTCCCCAATTTTCATTTCATACAGTAATCCTAATTGTCCAAAACTAAATGCGTCACCAACTGCTAGCAACTAACAGCAGAGAAATCTAATTAAGAAAGACAAAAATGATGCCTTGTCTATTTCACACACAGTCTTCTCTAAAGCTATTTTGCTGTTAAAACAGTCACATCTGTATGTGCTCTGCCTGTGGTAATAGGAAAGAGCCTGTCAATCTATCCTTGAGGGAAGATGTTCATACCTGTAGTTTGAGCCGATGTGATTCAATAGGAATTATCTTTAAAATAGGTAAATCTACCATCAGGACTTTGGGCTTGCTCCGGGCAAGACAGCAATTCTCAATGTCCCAGTCTGCTCCTTCCAGGTATAGACCAGAAACAAAGCATCCTGCAGCAAGTAGAAAAGCAACATCTTGCTAAATGAATCCATTTGAAAAGGATTCTTTTTTTGTAAGGCACATTCTCTCTGGACTAGCAAGACCTTGTTACTATGGGTTTACAGCAACCTCAGTGCACTGAAATACTGTAAGTGACTCCTATGTTTACTTACTGTGAATCAGGCACAAGCCAACTTTATGCAGTTTTTAAAATTAAAAATATCTTGAATTACACTATCTAGGCTAAACATTTTTAAAGGCGCTCAAGCCTCAGGGCATAAACCAGCTACTAAGTGCCTGCGGCATGTTATTGTATAGCACCTCAACACCTTTGTACTATATGGAAATTTCCTCTGTCAAAGAAGGGCTATTGGAGGTGATGGACACCTGCTGCACTGATACAGCACTTCCTATGTCTTTGGTGAATTAATAATTAGATTGGAAAACTGAAAATTTTGACAAAGGAAACTACAAAAATGTTCAAATATTTCCCCTGATTTGTTGACCAGCGTTGATAACTACTGCTAGGCTGTAGTTATCTGTCTAAAGGTCTTTAATATTAAGGAATAAACCCTTAGCATTACTGTCACCTGATATTTTTACTGATAAGCAAGCTAAAGTAGAGAGCTTATACTTGCCTAAGGTCAAAAAGAAAGCTACTAGCAAAGCAATAAAAGGCTCCCAGGAGTCTTGACTCCCAGCCCTCTGTTCTAAGCCTTAAGAGCTACATTTGCAAAGGCACTTAGGTTCCAAAATCCCAGATTCGCTAAGCCCTTGCTTAACTGCTGCCTAAACTCACTCCGTGCCCAAGATTTTCCTGTAAAAGATCCTTAAGTGCCTATGTTTCCATCCCTGGGCCCATGCATTGCTGTGTCCCTCTAGGGGTCCACATGCCTAAGCCCCCGTGTGAGCCAGAAAATCCACTGATCTTGCCTGCAGGGCCTGAGCTAGGCAAGCTCAGAGGCCACCTAACTCCACACAGCATGGGGGGAGGAGGATCTTCCTCATACGTTGTAGCTCAGTGATTCAGCTGGGATATGAGAGACCCCCTAACTTCAAGTCAAGTCCCCCCAACTGCCTGGGAGAAGGGATTTGACCAGCAATCTGGCACCTCTCAGATGAGTGCCCTAACCACTGAGCTAGTCCAGATTCCCTCAATCTCTCCTGTCGAAGCAGTTCCACTATGTATAAATAATGAAAGAGGCAAAATGGAACAGAGCGCATGAGGCTGGTAGGTAAGGCACTCACCTGACAGACCCAGCATCTAGTCCTCTGTGCCAATGACTCGCTAATAATTTATATGAAGTGCAGTCGCTTCAACGAACGCAATTGAGGGACCTCCCCACATCAGACTATCCTATGTGCAGTGGTTAGGGCACTCACCCAAGAGGTGGAAGACTTCTGGTCAAATCAGGCAGAGAGGGGACTTGAACTGGAGGTCTCCCACATCCCAGGTGAGTACCCTCACTATTGGGCTAAAAGTTAGGAGGCTGGTCCACCTCCTCTGTTTCTTGCAATAAATACCTTAGGCACCTGACTCCAGGAGAGGTTTCCAGTTGCAGAGCACAGCACTAGCTGCTTCTCTGCTACCTGGACTTAGGGATGGGGCCTAGCACAGACCCCTCTCCTCCACCAATGGCACTGGCTAGTTCAGGCAGCCCCTGCTCAATGTACTGGTTTTTGTGACTTCCATTCTTAGGCACCTGTCTCCCCACATTGATTGTACAGGGAGCCTAGGCCCCAAACCCAGGCTTTGTGAATCCTAGTGATTTTCTAGGAACCTAAAAGTTAGCTGTTGTGATGCTCAACATCAGTCCCTTTCAGGGCTGCGCTACCCTAGAAAATTAGTGACATCGCTCAGGGGTGTGAAAAATCCATGCCTCTCAGCACTGCAGTGAAGCTGACCTCAGGCCCCCAGGCAGCCGTTGATGGAAGAACTCTTCCATTCCCTAGCTACCACCTCTCAGGGAGGCGGATTTACTACTGTGCCAGGAGAGCCTCTCCCTTTGCTGTAGTGTCCACAATGAAGTGCTACAGCTGTGTAGCTGCAGCTGTGCCGCTGTAGCATTTTATATCTAGATAGAGCCTCACTCCCATTCCCACTGAATACCTTGGCATCAGTTCCTTCCACTGAATGGTCATGCGTGACAAACAAATCCAAGTTCTTGGCTGTAAAGGCATAAGTTAAAACAAACTAATGCTTATTACCTTTATAAAATGGCCAAATATTGTGTTTGCAGCCCAATTACCAACCGCTTTTGCAAACTCTGCATTGGAAAGTGCTACCTTGCCCAGGGCGCTCGGTGACTTCCTCTGCAGTACCATACTGGGTCACTTGTGTGTACAGGGTGGAGCGATCCAGCGGCCAGCCATTTTTCCTACAGGTGGCTTGAACAAGAGCTGTGAGATAAGACTCGGGAATATGTAGTCCTGAGAGCCACATAACATTTGGTTCGCCCTCATTAACCTGGAATCAATCACAAGAGAGACCTCTTTAAATTCTGAACTGCTCTGTCCCATGAGGAAAGTGCCTGCTCCTCATTCAAAAATTGGGGGTTCAGTGCTATGGAAGCTGCAGGTGCTAAGCATCGCTAAAGATTGGCCAATGAATCTTATTTAATCAGCACTGTGCAGTGCGGGGGGGGA